TATATATATATTTTTTTATAATTTTAACATTAAGAAATTCATATAAAGCGTATTAAATTATATTCAAAGAATAAAAATTTATTACATTACCATAAAAAAAAAAATTACAATGAATAAATTTTTGAATAAGAAAGCTCGAGGCAAAACATCTTTTACTTTTTATATCTCATAAAAGACAATTCGTTTTATCATAACACAAAAAAAAATTAAAACTATCGCCTTATGTTATTTATATATAAATATAAATAACTGCAAGGAGAAAGGAAATTAATAATCTTTATAAAATAATCATAATACAAAACTATAAAAAAAATAATGTTAATAAAAACTCGTATTAGCTAATTTTATATTATATAAATCGAGCAGAAATGATGGAAAATATTATTTAATTATAAAAATTCTTTAGAAAATGTTTATTATTTAACAAACAGCAGGTTGTTATTTGAGATTCACTCATCCCAGAAGGATTCGAGACTTCTGCAACTTCTTTGATTAATCCTTTTAAATAATTTCCCTTCTTCATCATTGGGCTGCAATTTGTAAAAAGAAACTGTAGACTTAAAAAAATTCCTATTCCTTTTGTCCGTCTGTCTGTCTTTCCTTAATATCGATAGAACGGAGTTAGATAAATTACCAGCACAACACCGATGCTAACGGAAAAGTATGATGTACAGGGGCAAGCCAATATTAATTTGAGGTGGAGAGCATATATTTTAAATTAAAAATATGCTTAAAAATTGCAACCTGGTATTGTGACGATGTCACAATAAGTAATTTCTCGTTAATAATTGGGTCATTTTTTAAAATAACCTTAATATGTAATTTTTTTCTGTTATAAATCCTTAACTTAGACCTAAATATTTATATACTAATAAATAAAAACAGTGAATTTTTTAATATTAATTACATAAGATGTAATCTAATGTTAGACTCTACAAACGATAAAATGGGGAGATATTTTCCTTTAAATAAAAAAACATTTAACGAATTTTTTATGGAAAAGCGAGAAAAAATTTTAAAAATTTGAGGGATGCATGCAATGGAAAAGGTTAAAAACCCAACAACTCGACATAAATTTTATAAATTCTGTTATTACATTAAATATATTTTAATTTATGGAGAAGATTAATTGCTTAAAATGACAAGATTATTAATTTTCTAACATTATCTCGAGTCTAGAAATGATATTATCAAATTTCAAATTGTCAAGACGTTGTTATTCTACACTCTTCCGTATCTTTTACAATTATTATTGCTTTAAATATAAAAATATATAAAATACGTAACCTATAAAATTTAAAATTAAAATTTTGATACTTTAATTAATTAAAAAAATTTATTAATTATCGAAATATTTTAATAAAAATTTAAGCTTTTTTTTAATTATATGTATATGTTTATGCACTGTAGAAGAGAAAATTCGGTTCTTTGCTGTTTATCAAGTTATACAAAATATAGTAATTAATTATAGAAGATGGAGTTTTGGAAAGACAAGATGAAGTAGAAAATTTCTCCACTTTATCGAAAAACAAATATTTATTTGATATCTTTTGGATGAGATGCGTGTCAAGTAAAACGTTTATAGATGATGAGGTTAATTAACTAGTGGGCCATTATTAGTTTGGAAAAATTAATTTTAAATCGATGATTAAATTAAAATACTCAATACTTGACAACAGAATTATGTTTAAAAATGTTGGTGACGTGTAATTTTCGAAAATTAGATGCCATGATAAAGTCCATTACGTATACTTAAAGATTAGAATAATATTATTATTATAATAAGATATATTTTTTTACATTTAATTTTTTAACGTCTGTGAAAAATTAATTAAAATTTATTTATTTCCATTGAAAAATTTACAATTCCTATTTATTTTTTTTTAAATTAACCTTTCTTTTAAGAAATTTTAGTAAAATTTTATAAAAGAATGCTTAATTTAATGATAAATTAAGCTTAACTTACAATACAAATTTGATTTATCATTTAAGATTAATTATATTCTCATAATACAGGAGGAAATCCAGAATTATAATAAGGCAATTACTGTTGTTTTGATCTTTAATTAAGTGTTCTTTCACGTTATTAAATAATAATTATTTTGATTATTTAGATTTTAAACTCTCCAAATACTGAAAGGTTAGAATTGTGGAGAGAGTCATAAATTTATAGTGATAAGCTTCTTTTGTATGACTTTGAACAATTGTTTCAATTATTGTCTCGTTTGTTTTGTGTCTAAATATTATAAGGAATTTTGTACTTAAATTGCAAATTTATTAAATTTTATTTTTCTAAAATAAGACGTCTACTATACTATTCCTTCCAAGCCATCTTGTATATTGGATTTTATTAATTTATTTATTTTGAAAAATTAATAAGCCGAGATCAAAAGCTATACGAAAATCCCATTAAAAATCGTATATAATAAACTATAAATATTATAAAAAATATATACAGAAGCGAGAGAATATAATAAAAATTATTTTATTTATTAAAAATAATTGAAATTATTTAAAATACAATATCCTACAGAATAACATTTATTTTTCCCAAAAAAAAAAATTGAAAAATAAATATTAAAGTAGAATGTTAAATTAATGACAATGGTTAGAAGAAAATTATTAAAGAAATTTAATAATATAATATGTGGAAATATAAAGATCATCTCGAAAGAGAAAGGAGTTCTCAACTAGCACGTATCACTTCTAGAGAATTATTACAAGTAAACTGTGTAGGAATGTAACAAAAATACTTTATTCAAGAGGTTTACTTAATTTAATAAATATGTTAAAAGCTAAAAAATATAACGTTTGAAAGCCATTAGCTAAGTTATTTTTGTAAGCTGAGAAATAACGTACACTCCAAATATCCAATTATAGTCACCTCTAACCACATTTTCAAGAAGTTTTCTTTTTGAAATGAATACAAATAACCTCTAAACAACGGAATTTTTTAAATGTTTCCATCAGTGACTGTTAAATACAGATAACCTCCAAACAACCTTCCATCAGTGGCCGTTGTTAACAGGTTTCAATGTATTAGATAAATTAGTGTAGTGAAACTATATTATTCTTCTCGTAACAGCGATTTATTTATAGATTTATTAACAAGAAAATTTAGAATTAAAGATTATTTTGAAGACTATTAAAATTATATTGGAAATGGAAAATTTTATACTGATTTTACTTACAACTTTAACAATTATTTTAAGTAAAAGTTTTATCATAATTAAAAGAAATTATTATATTTTTAGCTATAATAAACTATTACAATTACAAATATAATGACTGTAAAAACTATTTTAAAAAATATTTAATTTTATCGAGATTAAATTAAGAATTTAAATTCTAAATTTAAGATTTAAAANTCATTTAGGTTGAAAACAGAGCAAAATTTTATATAACAAATACGTTACTTACAATGTAAAATATTTTTATATAAATTTTTTTATGCATTTTATATGGAAGGAAGAAAAACATATCTGTAAAGTACTTATATAGTATAAAAAGTATTTTGAAAATAAACTCATTCGTGCGTTAAACATTGAGTGTTTATATAAAACTCAAACTTTATTCTTTATCAGGTGTTGGACTATTTCTTCAGGCTAAGATAAAAAAAAAAATTTTCTGCTAGACTTCAATAATCCATTACTTGGCTATTTTTGCAGCCGTAAACTAAGCTTGACAGTTCTTTGTCAACCATTTCTAGAAAAGTGTATATATATATTTATTTATTTAAAAAAAAAATAAGGATCGTAAAGGACACGTTGGAGAAAAATAAATTACTTAAAAGTGAAAATTTTAATATATTTCTAGCACATAATATTGAGAAATATGAAACTGAATTGTTTATTTTATTACCTGAAAAAAGGACGTCTTTATCTTATCGAATATAATCAAGAAATAACGTTAAAAGACGTATTTTTCTTCAAATTTTAGAAAAATTAATGGAGATTTTTTATTTATTTATTCCTGGAGTACATCTTTAATAAAACGAGAAAATAAATGACTTTATTTTGTTTATCAAAAGAAAATACATAAACATTACTCAACATAATATAAAGGGAAATAGGACAATTCAAAAAGTTTCTGCCCGAAATATTTTTTAGAATTAAAGAAGTTTTAACTATCAATTCTATTCAAAAATATTCATTTTAGACTATAGAAATGGATTTTAATTTTCATTGATAGAAGATAAGCTGCTTACTAAAAGAAAAATTATGTCTACTTCAATGCATTTTTTATTAGATTATTGTTCATTAAAATTTTTTTATACAAGTTGAAAATAATGAAAAATCACCGAAATTAAATGTTTTTTTTTCTTATTATTATTAAATATAATTTAAACATTTTAAAATGAAAATATCAGAATATATGATAAGTATTACTTGTTAATATATAGATTATAAGTTTGTATTTAATAAATTATATAATCATATATTGAGATAATAGAAAACAGTTAATATTTGTTTTTTTCTGAAAGCCTGTATCATGGAGTGCCAAGAATGCCCGAATGGATAAAATAACTGTGTCGTGGGTTCGTTTCTAAACCACGTGGACATTTTTGTGTTTTCTTCACACGTGTAACACCTAAATAGGGCTAGTTTTCCATTGAAAGTCCTCCAGGAATGCACTCCCTGGAGACTCCCTGAATCCCAATTGAAAATGGGGAGTCCCTTGAAAAATCGACAATGTGTTACATTGCCTTATCTACTCTTCAATTCTATTA